AGGCTGCTACAGTGGAGTGGAGGCTAAGGTCCTTCCTTGTAACATAGGGTCCGGCACCAGATGTGTGCAGATACGTAACAAGAGAGAAGGACAGAGAGAGAGACAGAGAGCGATAGCGATTTGCTTGCGATTTACTTGGGTCCCGGCAAAGGTTATGCCATATGAAGAGATGGTTTTGGGATTGGGGTATGGTTGCGCATGCTCGCTTGTCTAGTACTAGCACGAGCCTGGAGCACACTACTGACCTACCTTACCTCACACTGCCCCAACTAAACACAGAAAATGAAGAGGCGCCTCTGGAGACTCTTCTCCTTTTGATTTGCAACCTTCAATACAACCTCCATTCAAGCACCCCGCGGCCGCCATGGTCCAATCTTAGTTTATAGGGTCTGGGCCTAGGCTATTCACGAAAGCTCCAAGCAAAGTCCTCGACATGGCCATGTAGAGCCCCTTGTTGGACAGCCGGTGTCCCGCGTAGCTTTGGGCGATGCCGAAGTCTAACAAATCCGGCAGCCCTGGGATGTCCTCCGCAACAAGGTTTATAGCCCCGCTCAAATAGATAGAAAATGGTTTTGGGTATATCATAATAAAATCCCCATATACCCCGTATTCCATCTACTTAAGGGGACTATACCCTAAACCCTAAACCCCGAACCCTATATTCTGTCTACTTAAGGGGTCTATAGGTCTTAGCACTCTCAGAAGAATTGTCTCCTTGGTTGCATCTTCGATTTGGGGAGTACCCATAATAATCAGCATAGTATATTGAGGTTATACAGGGATAATGGAAAGGAAAATAGAAACTACTACATTTTTACAGGGTTATGGATAAAGAAGTAGTCCACGCTTCGGTCAGTCAGCGTAACTTCCCATGTTGTGTTTTCAGTATAGGGTTATGTACAGGCTATTGGTAGGGCTTATTTAGGGATAATGGAAAAGAGAGTGGAACCATAGCGTGAGGGTTTGAGGTGTTAGGGTTTAGGGTTTAGGGCTTGCAGCTGTTGCCTGTGTGGTTGACAAGTTACTGTGCATGGAGGAAAATCTTGCACCACCTAATATAGCCTATACTACTGTACCCCAATATTCAAAGGAGTTATAGGGGTTAAGGTCGCCTATACTACTGTACCCCAAAATTCAAAGGATTTATAGGAGTTAAGGTCGGGGGCCTGTGGTTTCGGATTTTGTGGTTTGCAGCTCAGGATTTCTGTTGCAAGGTCTTGGCTCCAGGTGTGATAGTTTCCCTAAATAAGGGGACCCCAATATAGACCCTGAAATACTACAGTCCTTATTTTAAGGAACCCCAAAAAGTACGCCTAATCTTGGGCAACTCCCATTTGGGTTTTGGCCCCGCTCGTCAACATGCATTGGCTTCGTGGTGCTGATTCACACCGCAGGGAATGTACTCAAATAGTTTTGTCCGCACCGCCCGCGGTACATGCCCAAAGTTGTATAACTCCTTTTCCGCGGGTTGTCTGCAGAACCATGACCTGATTGACCTATGTTGTACAAATACCCTGTATGCCCTGTAAACCCTCAACTTTGAACGGATCCTTTTTCTGGGTTGCTGTTAAGGAACTTAGTTTAAGTTGCTACATTGGGGAAAACGTATTGGTTACTATATGTACCCATTATGGTAATTAAATTAAAGTACCTCAACAGCAACCCAGTTGTTGCTTCAGTTGAGGCAGGCAGCATGGACACGCGCGTAAAACTGGAGCTCCTGAGCCTGCACAACAAGGATACCATTGGTTATATAGGGATCACATTAGGGTCACATTGAGGTTACATTGGGGCTCTTTTGGGGTTATATTGGGATGCTGGAAAAGAAAATGGAAACTACTACTTAGGGTTATATTGGGGTCGTATTGGGGCTATTTTGGGGTTATATTGGGATGCTGGAAAAGAAAATGGAAACTACTACTTAGGGTTATATTGGGGTCGTATAGGGATGATGGAAGAGAACATGGAAACTAGTATATCATAATAGGGTATATATTGGGGTTATATAGGTATATTTTAGGGATAATGGAAAATGGAAACTCCTATATTATAATAGGGTATATGTAGGGGTTATGTAGGGTTTAAGATTTAAGGTTTATTCACGGTTGCGGAGCATGATACTTGGAGGGTCAGGGGGACGGACTTAGCAACTTTACTCACAACCCAAAAAGCCATGTGACAACCACGCCTGTGCCGAGTATCAATCTACTTGCAAATACCCCTGACCCAAACCGTACTCCTAGACAACCCTGACCACCAAATGCCCTAGCAGCCTCATTTTTCCTATTCCCTACATTGCAGGTTACTGGCATGACGTAGCTCGTGCCTCATGCTATTTGCAAACAGCACTTAGGCTTAGGGTTTAAGGTTTAATGAATTTTCGGCTTGTATACTTGACGAAGAGCTTGGAGAAAATGCGACCCGTCGTGAGGGATAGCGCCGTTGGGGCTACATGTAGATCGAAAGCGATTGAGAAGACCTTGCCAGAATTCTAAGGGCCCCTCTTTCTGATGATCAGGACCCTGGACTCCAGCATTAAATCAGTGCTACGCTTTGAGCGATGAGGCCCTAATTACGAGAAAGCCTATAGTCTTGCTTCAGCAGATATAAGACCAACCTCGGTAAATGGTATGTGTCAAAATGGAAAGCTTTTTTCGCGTGAAATGAAGTAACCACCTCTCTCTCCCGTTAATCTAAATTAGTGAAAACATAGTCAGTATCCTTTTCATTGTCCTTCTTCTCTTCCAGTTGATTCTCCATTATTGGGCTATATCCATGAATCGTATACAACACCTACATAATACTTATACAACCCCTGTATAATTCCAATATAACCAACCGTATATAATATGCTTTTCCATTTGATTCTCCATTATTGGGCTACATCCATGAATCCTTATGACTCCTATATAATCCCTGTTTAATGCCTATGCCCATATATATATGACCCTATACAATTTTCCACTTGATTCTCCATTATTAGGCTATATCCCTGAATCCTATGTAACCTCTGTATAATCCCTTTATAATTCAAAACTAACCCTATGACCCCTATGCAGTCTTCTGTTCCATGTGATTCTCCATTCTTGGGCTCTATGCATGAATCCTATATAACCCCTACATGATACCTAGATAGTCCTTATATAATTCCCGTATAACCCTATGTAATCCCTATATAATTCCAATATAGCTCCTTAGCAGCAAGACCTGTGGAAATATAGAAGGGTTATATGGCTTACATAGGGTTATATAGGGTTTCATGGCATCACACGGGGTTCTATAGGGTTTAGTAGGGTTATCAGGGTTAATCAAATGGACAAGAGAATGGAAAATGCAAGGAAGACTGCTTATAATGTTTATGTAGTGGTATATTGGGATTAAGGCTTCCAAAATTCAAGGCCCCATTTTGGGTCCCACAATAAGGAATATACTGTAGCACTTGGAGGCAAGCAATGGGTATCATTACTTTTTGAAATACCTGTGTGTGTGTGTGTGCGCGTGTGTGTCGCTGATAACTGCACTGCGTCTTGGACACTAAAGGTCTAGGTAAGCATGTTGCGAAACTCTGTTGCTGTCTATACTGGGGTACGTTCTAAAATCGAATTCTTATTGGTGATATTACGATTATGTAGGGGTAATCAGTCCATAACAATGAAACGCAAAGATTCCATGCGGCATGGACTTTCAAGTATAATGTGAGCATCCTTCCTTTTATGCAACTAGAGCCTATGATCTCTCTTTGGGCGTATATGATGCACGGTTGTTATTTAAGGTCTGGGCAACTGGTCAATGGAAAATTGGTGAGTGTGTTATCACTTTCCAATTTTTGGTGTATGTGTTGTCGTTATCGTTTTTGGTGAG